TAAATCGCCCCTAGCGGAAAGCTGTAGGCAAAACATTATATTTCAAAAAATTCAGAGAATATGTTGCTTGGAAAATCGTCTAATCGGCATTAAAGTATTCATAAATGTCCCCAGCTGTTGCCGCTTTCCAGTATGATGCTGCAATAGTTTTTATAGCCTACTTTTTCGGGATTTTTGGGCGTTTTGCAACTTTTGTAATATCTTGAGATTTAACGACGTTACGTGCAAAAGAATGGAGGTATGTGCAAATGGAACAGTCGAACAATTGCCAACATTCTGGGTTCATTATCTCCCAAACCGTTGCCAATGTCGATTTTTGTCAAGACAGCCGAACTCTTGCGAATACCCATGGCAATCCATAGCATTTTACTTACCATTACCATTACTTTTTCAAATTTTTCCAACAGTTGAGCAGTTCTGGAGACATAAGTGTGCAAACAATGTGGATGGCAGTTTAAGTCTCTCTAACTCCAAGTTCCATGTTCTCCGAAACTATATACGAAAACGATGTTATTGAAATTGAGAAACGATGTCATTTTGGAATTAATTCGACTTTGGACTTAAGTGGAAAACTTGCATATTTGCAATTTTCAAAAAATTCGAAAATTTCTTAATTAAATTGCAAATTTTTCTTTAACCATTGGATTGCTCTAATAAAAACATTGCTGCACCGCCAAACTTATAGCAAAACAGCGCGTTTCCAGGAACAACCAGCTCTTCAGACCTTTGAAAATTTAAACTCCCCTGGCGCTGAAACGGCGACCACAATGAACTTTGGCCGTGAAGCAGCTTTTTACGCCACGTCTATGGGCTGTTAACAAGTTTTTAAATTTCTGTTAAATGTTAATAACTGAGCGAGTTACAGAGTATAGAGTGTAAGTATGTGCAAGCTTGCGAGTTTTACGCTTGCCAATATTCAGAGCCCATTTCGTTACAAACTGTTGCAAATACACATTTTCTTACAGGCAGTGAATGTGTTGAGAATGCACTTTGCAAACAATCTGATGTTCTATTTTGGAAGTTCTGATGTTCGTGGTAAAAATTCTAAGTTCGGGGAATAAAAAACGTTTTTATAGAAAATCATACGCTTTTCAACAAAATTGGGTATCATTCGCATTGACGTTTCCCATCATACAAAGTATTTATTTTCGTAAAATAATCTATGAAATTAGAAAAAATAGCAGTAGTCGACATAAACCCAGCACAAAGGCCCCCATGACCCCCTTCTGGATCTGCCCATGACCTGTATGATAATCTTTATTTAATAAATTCTATGATACAGAATCAAATTAAATAATATATCGATATTAGGTTAGATTAAATGAAGTGCCTGCATGCGTTGGATGCAAAGCCAAACATGCAAACAAATATATCTTTAAAGAATCTTGTGGCCGGGATAAGTGTATTTTAAAACGTTTTTAAAGGCCTGTTAATCGGCGGCTACCTCGAGAACCTCTGAGCCAATGAGTTTAATCTTTGACAATTTCTCTTCGAGTACGATTCCGTAATTTTCCTTGTCGATGCATTTTAAGACATCCTCCAATGCTAATGTATACATTTTGATTGTGCCTTCCTGTCACACTCCTCTCGCGATCGGATATTAATGGTCTATATGATCTCATCTGTTTATCCCTTGACGGCATTCCTGCTGATCTGCTTAATAAGGCTTGAGTAACTGGAGTCTATTCTCACATTATCTAGGGATCTTGGCTTTTTCATATTTACTAGTTATTATATTTAGGAATATAAAATATAATATAGGAAACACAATATAACCGATGAATAACTGGCCTGTTACCCGATGAGTCTAATTTTAGTTCATTAATTGTTTAATTTAGTGTAACTTTAGGAGGATACTTTGAGAATGAAAATAGTGATATAATCACAAAAACAATTTTTTATTAGATACCTACTGTTAGAATCATAAAAAACGCTACATTTTTTAAATAAAATTTATAATTTATTGTGAACTACATACCTGTACGTATTTCGGATTTGTGTTGCATTAAAAATGTCATGTCATATTGTTAAAACATTATAACGAGTAAAAAGCTTTAACGCTTTTTACTCTTGAGATTATTTCGTGATAAAAATGACCGGAAATCGGTTTTTGTAGCTCTTTGAACATCGATCGTCGATCGGAAAACTCTGCTGGTGAGCAAAAATTTCGTAAATAAAACATAATATGTAAAATATAATAAATAAATATACAATAATTAATAAATAATAATAATGAAATAATATATAAACTTGTATATTATTATGTTAACTTTTTGTGCTCCCTCGTGCGTAACCAATCCATATGTGGCAATTTTCAACTGAATATTTGTGAATATTTTTTCGCTTTTAAAAATTTGACATTTGTGTGCCCTAGACCGTACAGATCGGCATTGAAGCCTTTGTGGCTTTGCTCCCCATTTTAAAGCTATATTAAACTAATTCTACTTTGTAATTTATCAAGAAGTGACCTCTTAAAGGTGTAACTTTTATAGGGAACTTCGCTGCAGACGTTTTATGGGACGGCCCTGAAGTCATTACGTAGACGAATAAAAGTAACAAAACAGGTGTCGATGTGCGGTGCACCTGTCCCCCCAGCCTAACGCCACACCATAAAATCGTGCACTAAACATCAGCTGTTGATATCTAGTTAAAATTCGTAATTATCTAGGATACTGCAGCCTGGCGGAACATGCGGTAGCTGTAGATAACTATTGGTCAGCTGCTCAGTATTAGTAGTATTATTATTATTTTTAGTAGAAGGATTACTCAAATATTTTTTTTTATCTTTTCTGTTGGTTTCAGTTTTAATTGCTATATTTAATGTGAGAATTAACCTAAACATTTGAGATGATTAGTTAGCTTACAACTAATAATAATTAACATACATATATGATTTTCAATGGGAAAGTGGATTTTTAATACTTGATTCAGATTCATTGTCAGCTTAAAGCACGAATACCAACATATGGATTGTTCTGATTAGCCGAACTGATTATAAAATAATATCAGTTAAATTTTTAGTATAAATGAGTGAATGACGTGAACGTTCGCTTAGCTGTTTCTCGAGTGAAATCCTTCTTTCAACACTAGTTTACATTTGTTCGAAATTATGTAATGTATTTCCTTTGTCGTGGTATTTTTCTTAACGACCTATAATATTGAGTTTAGGAAGTAAAGTTCTCCTATAATTTTAATTTAAAATTCGTCCAACTGTATCAGATTTGTCGACTTTTAGTGCTATTTTTGTACCATTGAACGAACTGGATGGTGCTGACTTATTAATTCCCACTTAAATGATCTGCTGCTCTGATGAACGATCAGAATTTGTTCGACAGTTAACAGAAGGCTTAAAATTAAATATTGCATATATCACATTTTGTTGTTTCCATATATTTTTTTTAACTAAACCAAACATAGGGATGTTATTCTGCAGTTAGAAATAAACATGACATAACACGAAAATTTGTTAAATAAACTGAATGTAATCAACGTGTGATAGGACACAATAAATCGTTTATCAGTTCAAAACGAAATATTTTTTTTTGAGATTCCTATAGATAAACGTACCGTAAATTTGAAAATCTTTAGAAGCCTTGCAATTATCGTTTTCTGAACTGCATTTTACAGTTGCAAGTCTTAACCATTTTTTAGATGTTTTTGGCACTTGGACTTGTTTAATTTAATAATCTGATGTCTAAAATCAGGCACATTTAGCAAATCTAAACTTCATATTGGGCATTTTCTTCCATTTCCAATCAAATACCGGGGTCTCATTCAATTGAAAGAACTCAAGACATTATTTTATATTTCGTAATAAATCTAATGAATTTTTTTTCAGGTCCGGACGTTATTCGTAAGCGGACTGCCCATGGATGCCAAACCCCGAGAATTATATTTACTGTTCAGGGCATATGAGGTATGTAACGTCAGTTTATATTTGAGGCATAATAGGTAAAAGAACACGAAGTTGTTCGGTTTGGAATTAAATTTAATAAGTTGGTTCTTGTTCGAGTGAATTTTGCAAATGAATTTCTCAAGGAAGGAACGAAACCGATCTATATATTTTTTTTATAATTGGCTAATATTGGTTCATTGATACTGGGTGATACAAAATGCCATTCCTCTAAACGTTTTGTCTGAGGGTGATAAAGATGTATCTGAAAAATTGTAAAAATATGTAGTTTTCATTTAAAAGTTCCGTAAAGTTTCTTTACGAAACAGGTCAACACGTGTATCTAAAATGGAAGTATGATAGAAATCATGGTATCGGGGAAACTGATTGCTACTGAGCCAAATAATGTTCGAAAATATGCTGGTGCTAGTGAGGAATAATAAAGCTACCGGGACGGATGGTCCGTGTTTTTTCTGAAATGCGTATGTATGGGAAAGGAGCAGGACGAGTATTTATGGATGATACGCGTATGAGGTTCGCATAATGTACGGATATCTGAAAGAGTGCTGGGGAACTGCGTCCTATGAAACTGCTGAATAAAATGAACGTTACACAGCCAAATTCGCCCTAAACTTGACGCTGAATAAATTCGGATTGCTTCAAGCAATTTGCTTTGCGTTTGAAGCGTTATTGAGCCCCATTTGATTTCTAGTCGCCAATGTTTTGATAAAAATTAAGAGTTGCAGACAACTTTTCTACAGGGTGGTAAATGAAAAAATGCAAAATTTATAGAAGTTCCGCATGCTCCTAATTGGACAATAGAAAGATTTTCTGGAACTTAACACAAAAACTTTACGTTTAAACCAAATACTTGGAAATGGTATTTAAATGTTCAGGGCATCTCGTCTGCTTACAGGGGGGTCTCAAAAATCAACTGTTGGTCCTTTCAGCGATAACTTTTCTGGTCATAGTGCGATTTCACGATCTTGAACTCTCGTTGAGGCTAAAGATTCATAGACAATTTAAGGCGAAAATTCGACATACAGAGTTGCGTTGTCTCCGAAATCTGTGATTCTGGAAGATTATTTTCAAATATTTCATTCAACAAAAATGAACCAGCTAACATTAAATGGTATGTTGTGGGACAAAGCGAAACGAGATTATATAATAACGAAACCACCACGTTCCTCAAATCGGGGCACATGTTCCAACGAAACAGCGACACTAACTCTCACGTCGGCAGAGTTGCCATAATGATCCATAACATACTAAAACACCTAATGACGAATGTTGAAGCCATCGCAAATCGTACAATCTATGACCTAACAACAAGGCACCTACAAAGGTGCAAACTACAAATCATACAAGGGTATGCTTCTACCAGTGCGCTATCGGACGATGATGTTGGGCCTAACAACAGCAAAATTCGCAGAAAAATCCCAATACACCATCATTACAGGAGATTTCAACGCAAAGATCGGACCTAGATAGGCTACCGACCCGCCAAATATAGACGTCTTTGGTTTAGGAGGACGAAACACCAGAGGTCAAAAAGTGGCTGATTTTCTATGCAAAGAAAATGTCTACCTTTTATACCTTTTATAAAAAAACCACCCACAAGAAAATGGACATGGATCACAATGGTATCACATGTAACGAAATAGACTATACAGGGTGATTCAAAATTGGCGTCATTCCTTTTAAGGGGTGATAGAGGCTCCCGTGGGGAGTATGAGAGAAAAATAGAAATTTTTTTTCGAAAATTTCTAGAAGATATTAACAGTTGAAGATCGAATTTCAACTCTGTTAATAAGCATTATTTTGAAATTGTTCCATGTTTAATTGGAAGCATATTAGAATAGTTACGCATTCCAAAAGAAAAATTACGATATTCAAAATTTTCGATATTAAAAAAGTTCTCTTCTACAATTTTTGGGTGGAAAGTCAAAGCGGCAATGATGTTCTTTGCCATTAACAGTTACAGGTAGACAGCCTCTGTCCATAATAACAATAATTTGTCTGTGACTGTCTGAAACTGAGTGTCTGAAACTGTGACTTATTTTGAATATCCTTTCACGAATTTGCTGAAATGCGATTAGTTCAGGGGAAATGCTACAGTGACATAGCAGAAGCTGAAATACCTCACTCCAAAAAGGGAGAGGAGAGTGGTTCCAGGAAGATAGTGGACGACAATCGATGTTCGGGTTCCAAGCACAGAGGAACAAGTATTGGACGTAACCCAATCAGGGCCTTCCAGGGGCACTCAGAGCACAATAACTGACACTTTCCCAGGCACCAAATAAATACCGGCTACATTCCTACCACGTTTGTACGATACGCACAGCACAAGGAGATTCAAATCGAGCACTAGTTAATTAACTGAATACGAAAAGCTGCTTGATAAGAGTGGATAATAAGGAGATTACACAGGCACTAGCTTGTTTGGAGTTAACCATTCAAATTTCAAACCAACCAAACCCCGCAGAATTCGAGGTTATGAGAACAGGTTGACATTTCGAAAGTACGTTCCGCAGTCAACGAATATTGTTGAATTTACCATTTATCCTTGTTTATCTTATTGTCAGTCTGTATAGTTCCATGGTTACCGGAGTTTTAAATAATTACGAAGCAACAGGTATTTTCGCAATGTTAATTAGGGAGATTACCTTGAAAAACATTGCTGCCGTATTTCTGATATAGGTTTTTGCAAATTTGTCCGTTTTTAGTAACAATTGATTTCTTTTACTATTTTTTCTGTAGTCTTATAAGAGCGCGAGACAACACCTCGAGAGGAATAACGCCAATTTTGAATTACCCTGTATACTTGCTTCCAACAGAACAACAGACCACAGGCTGGTGAGAGCAAAAATAGAAAGTAACTGGTCTCGAACGAAAGAAGTTGATTACAAAAACTTTAAAACTATCTATAAAAGAGTTAACAGAAAAGAAGGACGAATTCAATAGGCAAATAGAAATTAAGCTCCAACCAAATGAGGCTCTTGAACAGACGAACATAAACGAACTAAACACTAAATTTACCAACATGATCAGAGAATCCCCAAGGAACGTTTGCGCTCGTAAGACGAAGAAAAACGACAAACTCAGTGTCGACACAGCCCGGCTAATACATGAGCGTCGGGACACACACAGGGACGCGCCACGATATAAAACATTGAACAAAGAAGTTAAATCAGCAATACGCAGGAATATACGGGCGTACAAAACATCAGATTCGCAATGCCATCGAAGAAAATTTGAACATTAGTGTACTATGCTCAAAGCGAGATAAAGGAAACATGGTCATCGATAAGATGAAGAACAATCTGCGAGAAATAGTTACATACGAAACAGATATAGTGACTGTGACACAGGACTGCTACCAAACCCTGTACAGCCAGTCATTAACATAATCAGTAACAATTTCCCAGTTATCAATTCCCATTATTTGCAAGTATTTGCGGATGTTGTCTCTAAATCTCAGCTTAGGTCTTCCCAGGGGTCTTTTTCCAGTTGGGGCTTCCTCCCATATGTTCTCTATAAGCCTTTTGATGTTGCTACGCTGGACGTGGCCAATCCATCTTAGTCGGTTGGATTTTATTTCTTCCAGGATGTCTCGGGAGTCATATAGTTGACAGAGTTTGTTGTTGGTCCGGATTCGATATTCGCTAGTTTGGTGATCGATAACCGGTCCAAGAATTATTCTCAATAGTTTCCTTTCAAACCTTCTAAGCAGCTGTGTGTCGAAAGTCGTTATTGTCCATGTCTCCCATCCATACATAATGGCAGGTCTTATTAGTGTCTTGTATATGTTGCTTTTTGATGGCTTGTGATATATTTGGACTGCAGCATCTCCCGCACAGAGAAGAAACATTTGTTGCCCTGTGTTATTCGGTGTTTTATCTCCTCCTTCATATTATTGTCCGCTGTTATCAGGGACCCTAAGTATTTAAACGACTGGACATTCTCAAAATTGTATTCGTTCATAGTTACTTTTTGTTCCACGTGCTCCTTATTATCCTTTCGTGTTAGGTGCATATACTTTGTCTTCGACTCGCTTACTGTCAGACCCATCTTTTCAGCTTCCGTCTCCATTTGTACGAACATTTCCTTGACGTTAACTGTGCTCTTTCCTAGAACATCGATTTTATCAGCATATGGTAGTAGCGGGCTAGGTCTACTGGCTCCAAATATTTGTGTTTTTGTTTGGGCTACTGTCACTACTTTTTCAAGGGCCAGGTTGGATCGAACTGGGGACAGCGCGTCTCCTTATTTAAGTCCATTTTCTACCGGGAACATTTCGGTATGTTGTCTCTCCACTTTTACGCTATTTACTAACCCTTCCACGCACGTCTTTACCATGCATTCAGCCCTGTGCTGTATCACTTACGTTAACTTTAACGTGCATGTTATCCGTCAAACACGTTATGTGGCTCCAACTGGTGTTTTGTATCAGTAAAACCTTTATATTATAACAGGCGCACGGTATCGACGAACGTTATATGAAGAAATAGCGCTTCAGAATAACAGCATCAAATCACATGCCGCTTTCGAACTTAACGTGCATCCCTCGAAGTTAACTTC